GCAGTCAATGTAAAAATCAAACCAGCAGCTATTTGATATTCTCGACGGGAAGGCGTCCAACGCATGCAACTATTGTTGATCGCAATCAGCATCACTTGTAGGCCAAATGAGCATGAGAGTCATGACTACTCACACTAATCTCATTGTTGGCTCCATCGGTACGACTTCTTTTCAGAGCAAGATCACCTGTGATTAGTTCGATTAGGATTTTATACTGATTTGGCTTTGGAGATAACACACAACTTCGAGTAACCCTTATTTGTACAGAAAGAAAACAGCTGGATTTTAGTCTGAAAAAGTATTTTTTTCCCTCTCTCTGACTTCTGGCCGATCATCCGATCTTACTTTAGTCCTCAATGATCTCCAACATGGTTCAGTGAGATTTGGAAAGTTGCGGAACAATCGATGCATGACTATCCTTTTGGCTCTTAGTTGATTTCCTATCATTTCTAAAAATAGTTAGCAAATCACTATTATCATTTCCTCTAGTCTGGGGCTAGCGATTACTGACTTCTGCACTTGGAATATGCTGTCCACATTGCCCGCATCTGTGACAGCTCACAAAATGGCCAAGCAGCACTGGACAGAGTAGCACTTGTTGTCAGCCTTCTCGGACTTTGCTTTGCACTTTCATTCATTCAGGAAGTCAACTAGTTAGGCAGTTGTATCAACGACTGTGGAATCAAAGACTAGCTCACGAACCGTATAGGAAATACTCGAGGCGCTTTTGCTAACCTTCGCCACCTATCTTAGAATACTCCTACCACTCCATTGGAACCTGTGAAAACCCCTACCAACTATTTCCAATATTCGATTACCTTGTACAAGATGATAGAGCCACGTCATCGGTCTGTTTCGCTGTGTCTAGAATACCATTTATTTCTTTTTCCTGATGCCAACGCGACGCCACTCCGTTCCTGAAGGGTAGAGTGTACAACGCAGCCGTACATTCGACCCTGCTGTGCGGCTGTAAGACCTGATTCATTAGCTTGGCATACGTAAAGAGGGTAGATACGTTAGACCACCATTGTGAACACCGCGTGGGCAATGAGGGTGTTTGGCGTCTTTCTACGGCACAAGATGAAGTGAAGTGCTCAGCACCGCTATTTCACGTACCAGGCTCCGATGGCTGAGTCACGTGTTGCGCATGCCAGCCCAGTGACTCTCGCGACGTGCGTTGTTTGTGCACCGGGGGTGTGGATAGAAGAAGAACAAGGCCAACTGATAACACTGTCACGAAAAACCAAGGCCCTTAATTCGAAATTGACCTCGATTAGAGCCTCTCGGCTTCCTGGTTTGGGTCTGAAAGATGATAAACACGTTTGGCTGAATACACTTGTTGACATGGCTAGGAGCTGATCTCAGTGGCGTTTGTGGTGTGAATTTCCTTGTCCCTTTCCCTCCCGCTTAGCTTTCCCCCTCCAAGTACAATCTTATTTCTGACGCATAATATAACTTCTTTTAGCAGCACAGTAGCTGCGTGCTAGCTCTCCGGAACAATGTCCATCCGTTACTAGGACCTTAGTTGGCGTGCCTGTGTTGAGTCATTTTTTCAATTCTCACGTATTGCGGCACAATGGCCGTGTTTTCCACGTCTAACTATCATCTACAACGATGATGATGATTACCTATCGTCATCATTTTGACGAACCCGTGCATTGTTTGTGGGGCTTCATCGATTTTCGAACCTCGTTATTATTGCCTTCCGATTGCTAGCTAAAAGCGCACTCTCAAAACTTGGTAGCTTAGTTACGCACTATTTACCTCCGATCAAGTGCAATCCGTTTTGCCCGGCCTCGCAGGGTGATTAATGTTGTGTCCATACGCAGGTTCGCAGTAGTTCGCTAATCCCGTCCACTTGTCACTCACTTTAGGTGAATCGATTTAATGAGGGTCGAGTTAGTTTTTACCCACATGGGAAACGATTTGACAAACCTTTAGGCTCTGTTTTTCTGAGCAGACCTACATTCAATGGGCTGGTTGATTTAACTTATGATATTTTTGATGACTTGTCTGTTTTTCTCAGCCGCATCTGTCAACCCTTCATTGCCAGTTACCAAGATTCCCTCTTCGACTTTGTAATTGAAATGCTCACGAATGACTCTTTCTTCAGACTCTTCTGTAGTGGAACTTCTGTCAGGTGACCGAATGACGAACCTGCACTATTAGGACGACAGAGTTCTCCTTGGGTTTAACACACTGGCTATACAAGCAATACGAAAAACACAGACGCGTAGAGCTGCATGCTTCTTTATGTGCATTGCACCTTCAAAGTGCAAAGTGCTGTCCCATTACTGAATTGACACAACACCGGTTCTAGATATCGTCAATCGACCACTGGAAATGCTGCATCAATTCGCTTATCTTGGTAGCTGTGTCGCCTCTGATGCACACATCACTGAGGAGGTTAATTCGCGTATCAGCAAGACCTGTGTTCTTTTCCAGAGGTTTGCAATCTAAGGATGCAGTAGAATATCAACGTGTCAGTGAAAAGTAGGGCGTATAACGCTGCGACAAGGCCATCGTTGCCATACTGATAAGCGACCTGACCAATTCGCAACAAACACATTAAACACTTGGTTGTGTTTGTCCACCGGTGCTTGCAAAGTATTGCTCACGTCTGGTAGGAACACCAGGTGAACGATGCTTCGGTACGTCAGTTAGTTTTGGCGAGAACCTGACTCGAGTATTTGCTGCATCTTAACCACTTACGTTGGCTAGGCCACGTCCTCCGTATGCCCGTTGACCGGCGTCGTCGGCGTGCATTATACGCTGTGTCTGCATCACGTTGGAAGAAAATTCGTTGTGGCCAGTCCAGTCCAGAGCCTTGACCGGGCTAGTGCACACCGTCTTCGTGTATGGTCCACACGTGTGTGGTCCACACCAGTCATTGGTGACTCTGTCAGACATCGCGCAGTCAGTGGCGTTCTAGCTGTTAATCCTAATTCCATCTCGATTAATTTTGCGCTTTTCTGTCCTGATTCCATTATTTTTGCTCTCTTTGCATTCAACCCGACTATCTTGTCGTTGTTATTTGTGTTCTCATTCTGCCTACGTGAGTCGCAATAACTGGATCCACAGCACTTCGGTGCCTGGATCATTGTTGATTGGCTGAACTGAACCGAATCAAGGTTAGTTATTCATGCGTTTGTTCATTTCATGGTAATGTGGTGGACTCCACTTGTTAACTAGTCCCGTGGTTGATCTCCGACTCTAGTGCCCGTGCTATCGGTAGCGATCAGAATAATTTTTGTTATAGTCATCCGACCACCGAACGATAGTCGCAGATCTAGCTTCCGTTTGCCGGCCCCGAGAGTAGAATCGTTGGAGTCATCTTGCTCGCCCAAGTAACGCTCTTTCCTGGGCGTCGTTTGCCTTTCACTGCGAGGCGATACACTAAGTACCATTTTCTAGGGTGGTTTGTGCAGGCTACTCACAAAGCTCCTTCCGAGCATAGTTTGTGACGCGAGTTAGAATGAAGAGTAAACAGTCCTTTTGGTCAAAAAATACCTAGTGGTTTTATATATCCTTTTCCCTTTTAGCACGTCGCTCAGGATTCTTTTGTGTCCTTACAATTCTGTGTGTTTCTCTCTCTACTTGTCCCCTTAAACACATTTTTTCGCCCTTAGAGGCCCTATTTCGCTAAATAATGCTGTCACATGCCCTAAGATTCGATTTTACAGCTGTATGCTTTTCATTTCAGGGTTTTGGGGTTTTCACGGGTGCACGCGATTCGGGCCCCAACCACTATTTGTATCAATTTTCGTCATCGTTATCCGCTAGGCCTGACTCATAAGTATGTAAGGCGGTAACTTCGAGATCTTTGACGCTATTCGCAACTCTGGTTATTTCTACCCGAAAACTTCGTACTAGTGTGAAATGATCATGTTTTGCATTGTGCAGTGCAAGCATCACTGAAAATATCTGCATTATCAACCACATGTGGTGAATTCGGACATAACTGATTACCTGCTGTTTGAGTATTAATGGGGCTGATGTATACGCCTAACTTTTACGCAGTCGGGCAAGCCGTCGCCTTTATGCTTGGATACTGATCTGTCGAACTTACCGACTGCACAGCTTCAGAACCGCAATGTGGTGCGGCTTTGTTCATGAGACCTCTGACTAGTTCCGCGGTAACTGGACCGCATAGTAATCACTATTTGAGATGGTTCAATGAACAGTGTGGAGCACAAACTGTCACAGGAATGTTCCCCGTTATCGTTCTGGGTACTAACTATTGGAACCTTTTTTGCCTTCACTTAATTTCTTATTTTTCCTTGGGACTATCCGTTGCAACGTAATCTTCCATATTGTATTCTCGGATTTAGTTATGGATTCCATTGTTGCCCGACTAGTCCTTTAACATGCAGTTGCCTAGATAGTTGATCTATTCTTGGATGTGTCACATTATACCTCAAATTCAGCTATCAGTAGCGAACCGGATCGGAATGTTTTTAATTATGCATATCGCCTGAACAGCATACACTACCACAAGGCGAGGGCTGATCGTTTCACATACACTGCCGCGATGCTACCTCGATGACTTCTTCACCGAGGCCGCCATCGTCACTCTCGGTTAAGCGACACTGATTACCGGCTTGCAAGTTTCGTGAACCTCGGTTTGAATCCCTCAGGCTTCAATGCGAATGCATCTTGCCACGGAGTTACCCCAGCGTGAAATGACCGTCCAATGCTTCTCTCGACATGCGGCAGTTTGATGGCGACTGAATACAGTTGTGCTTGCTTTTCTTGAGCTAATCAGCTCGTTGGTCGACATGTGAAGCAACTTTTTTCTTGTTTGTAGATCTGGTTAGGCACTACCGGATACAGCGGGACAGGAACTAGTCTATATAGATCGATATCCATCCTTCATTGTCTAATTGTTTCCAGCAACATTTCTCTTGTTCTTATAATTAGGTCACTCAACACGTCATGACATTGTAACCTGTTTTCTTCACCACCTTTACTTCGATTCCGCTTCTTTGCCTATTATTCAGGTTTTCCACAAACGGTCAATTGTCCCAGCTGCCTCAGAGAACATTCTTTCGAACTCTTTGAGATACGGAAATTATCAATCCGCCCCCCTCAGACCATGTGGACAGAATGGTTCCATCGGACCAGCCACCGGCGGGACTCGTAGCATCATCACCAGCCCAGTTAGTTCAACCAATGTTCGTAGACGTTCCAAGAATAGCAACTCCGATCCGCTCTTTGAGCCTGCGCCGCCGGCGCATAACACGAGGATTGACGTCATTTCGAAGAGCGACTCACCCATTCACTGCACTCCGGAACAGACAGTTACTTCAACTCCCGCATGTCTCGCTGACTCCTTACGCAAATTAGTCTCCCCTATTTCTACAACTTCGTTTCTAGGACTCCCTACATCACATGCCAGCTCTGAAACCGACAGCGGTTCTCCAGCTCATCGATGCGGTCATCCTTTACTGCGCAGTTCTGGCCATCGTACCGTAGTTTCATTGGGAAGCTCTGATCTGACGCCTCGATCTACTCTCCAGTTGTTGAACGCAAGCTCCCCAACTGCAGGAGCTCTCAGCGTATCCACAGCTGGACACCCGGCACCTCGCACGAATTCCGGGTCGGCCACTGACGAATGTCAACCTGTTGGTCCACGCACAAGGTCACAAGTTGCTGCGGCGGCGGCTGTGGCCCGAGCTTCCGGCATTCAGCGACGATCTAATAGAACAATTCGCGGCAAAGGTTTTTCAAAGAATTCTGGTCCTCCTAACATCTCTTCACGCGATACCCCTGTTCAGATAAGGAGTAAACGAGTCACAACACCAGATAGGGAATTTTATTCAGAATGTTACGCTACAGAACGTTCTCCTGGCTCTTTCGGATTGCATCCTCACTCATGCGATCTCGTCAGTGTCGAAGTTCCTGTGTCCACTGCCGAAGATCCAAGAGTCACTTCTCTGCAAAACTACCTGAAGCTACTTCGACATTTGGGTAAAGCTTATCAATTCTTTGTTCAGCACGATTGGCGTTCTGCTACGCGTTTACTGTGCAGCCTTCCTCCTGCTCAATTAGCCACCGGGCGCGTGCTAGCGTGGGCCGCTCGCGCTCACATGGACAGTGCAGAATACTCGAAAGCACAGAAGCTGTTTAACGAAGCCCGTATGGTTGAACCTTGGCAATTGGTTGGGATGGACTTCTATTCCACGGTTCTGTGGCAGTTGCAGGCAGATCACGATCTGTCTAATCTTGCACACGAACTACTAGAACTGGATCGGAATGCTCCTGAGCCATGGTGTGCAGCGGGCAATTGCTTCTCTCTGCATGGCGAACATGAAGTTGCGGTTCGATTTTTTCAGCGAGCTATTCAGGTAAGCTGAACTGCACCCATCAGTTCGGGCTGTTTTTGATGTTTCAGTTCGTATGTTTTGTAACTTTAACTAGCTGTTTGTTCTCTTACCAACTTGAATCGTGGTCGTAGCGCACATGACGAGAAAGACTAGGTGTCTGTCAATCCAATTGCTCATCTACACATGTTGATGGATTCATTTATCCATCCTGCAATTATCTTGCTGTTCTTTTCATGTCTGTAGTACTTGGTGACAACACATTATTCTGCTTAATCTAATTTTTCGCTGGTTAACTTCGCTCACTGTAATGATGTTCTTATGCGAACGATAACATCCTTGCGTCTATACTCTTAAGCATCACCCTTCTGCTCCAATAGGTTGACGGGGCCACACGACAATTCATGCGTGAAAACCGTGACGTTTGATGTTCTTCAAGCGTTTTCCTTACTTTTATGCTTGATTAGCCAACCAGTTTCGATACTTGCCAATGACCCGTAACAATGGTGTTTTCCTTCACCTCAGATTACCTTCTCCTCATCCTTGTTATCACAAACTAAACTAGTAGCTCAGATGTTTTGACCAGTGTGGATTGGTTTTTTGCTCCCTCGCGCACCGGTCTTTGTTGGAATGGGCCTGTTACGGTCGTCCGGGTGCCGCTCTTGTTTACGGATTGCTCATGTGCCCATTATACTTCCACCGCTGACTGGATTTTCGTGAGAGTCCGATCAGGGCTAACCAGGCCACATTGGTCATCGCGTCGCTCACCTTTCTACTCGCTGCCAAGTGATGGGTCACCGTGTGTTCAAACACCTCATCGTGACAATATTTCTTGGCCTGAAGATCGCCCTAGATTACATCGATCGCACTTGTTTGTGACAGTGTCTTATGAAGAGGGCATTGAGATTCTTATCAGTTTTAACCTTTCCGTCCCATGGCTGCTGGGTCGCTGTATACATCAACGAGAAACCATCCCCAGAGTTCGCCATGACAGGTGGGGTAGATCAACTTTGCCGCGTTTTTCCATTCCACTTTTTAGTCGAAAGGAGCACGAATCGTACTCTGGTTTCTCTTGCCACTTCTCTTGAGGTTAAAGTTCCGATTGGGGACCAATTATCAAACTTACGGCGCTCGGCTCATAGCACTTTTCTACTCGAGCTCGGATGCTGTGTAAACCTTGCTGATTCGCCTGACGCACACGGTGTGCGATTTATACCTTCATTTTGCATTGTGCATTTTCCCTCCTGGACCGGCGCACTACACTGCAATCCCTCGAAGTGATCGATTCTTTTAGTTTTCGAAGCAACTGTGTTTCCGTTGATAATCACATCGCACAGATGATTGCCGTGCACTTTTCTGAAGCTTCTGTAGTTTTATAAAGCCTATTTAATGATGCAAAAGAGAGGATTTAAACTTGTTAATTATGGGTTTTTCAACACTGTGTTGCATCCATCGTTGCTGTATGGTTCAGCGAACTGATCGCTGCTCACTGAGGACCAGTGAATTTCACACGTTTGACCACCGATTTTCGCGAAGCCTCAAGTGCATGGTACTGAAGTTTATTGTTTGGCCTTTCACTGTGGACCCTTTGGTGCCGCATTGGGGCCACACAGACCCGAACTGTCTACTCTGGTTAAGTCATATGCTCCACACGCCAACAGGCCAGCTATCTCAGCCCATATTGTTGGCCAGTATTATACTATTTGAGCGAAATTCTTTGGTGGTCTATTTACACCATGAAAAAGGTGTGTAGAGAAACTCAACGAAAGGCTTACTGCTTGCCACAATTCTTTTCAGAGTCCCCGGTAGTCGACCGCATCGACGGTTAGCTACTCACATATTAAAGTTCCGACGTCAATGGGACTCTCTCATCCACTCCCTTATTTCTGGCTCCTAACCACTCTATCATACGATTCTGTATTTTTAATCTCTTCTTGAATTGCCATCATTGGCATTACTCCCTTGGTGACGCGTGTCAATGCAGCTGTACCATCCGGGCCTCACTGTTATTGTCCTTTCGTATGACAAATTGTCACCGTCTGTCCATTTTTTCAGGTTTTTGAAAAGCAGACGACCGGGATACTACTTCACCCATTGCCCATGCAATAGTTTTCCAGTCACATCCTTTCCCTAGGATCCCCAATCTGTGGCGCTACTTGAGTCGCAGATCACTTTCCAAAGTGTCCTTGTCATTACTTGGTTGTCGTCTTTTAAGCTGATGAACTTACAGTCCCTCATTAACTTAGACACTTCTATGTGGTCTGAACGGTTTTCTCACCTGCGTTACGCAGCGCACTGTCCACCACATCGTGTGGCATGACCCGTTGAGGTTGCTCCCACTTTATTCTTTTATAAGTGTATACTGTTGTGTATTTGATATCATATTCAGAAAACGATATTCCTTTCCGACCTCTTTTCTCCAGGTTTGCCCAACCAGTGTGTACGCGTTCACTCTCCTTGGACACGAGCTGTCCACACTTGAAGAATTCGACCGCGCCGTGAACGCATTCAGGCATGCTTTACGCCTCGACCCTCGGCATTACAATGCCTTGTTCGGTATTAGCAATGTTTATTACAAACAAGAAAAGTTTGAACTAGCTGAGACACATTTGACCAGAGCTGTGGCGCTATTTCCCCACTCACATTTATTGTTAGCAAATTTGGGTGCTCTGCGTGGCAGGCTTGGGCACCTTGATGATGGACCAGACAGTGCATTGGCTTTGGTCACCAAGGCTTGTAAATTGCAACCCAACAATCCTCTGGCGCGCTATCATCGCTCCTCCATCTTGTTTCATCTGGGTCGCTATCCTGTAAGTTGCCCAAACTGCTATTTGTTTTGCGGGTTATCTTGTTCTCTATACTCGCTGGATTCTCTACATCTTCAACAAATTTTCTCTCCTAATCTATGGAAATCAATCCCACGTGGTTCATGACATCCCTAACCTCGTTCTTTTGTGTACCATACTCTACTTGTCTTCTTTTTTACACTCTGTGAACGCATGAGATTCACAGCTTTGCATTCCATGGACGCTAAAAGGGTCCAAGGTTCCTCTCCCTAGACGTCGTTTTTAGCCTACTAACATTGCACAGCAACTATGTATTAGCCACATACGGTGATTTTCAACGAGTTAACTATCTCACAACCTATAATTGACGACACCTCTTGATCGTATGTATGCAATGCTGCCCTACAGGACTTCTTCACCACCACTCCGATATTGTCGGATTATCTGTGAGTGCCCTTCAGCCACTCATGATAATCCATTTTGAGATGTAAACATCTTGTCCAATACAAAGAATTCTCCTATCGCTGCATCTGATTTTTCAAGCATTTCGTCAGTTGGAAGACGGTGGATCAATCGAATAGTTCAGTTTGTTGAGGAATTTTTCTTATTCAATATTCCAGCGCAAGCGTATTTCCATCTTAGTGTGTGTGTTGGCACTACAACTTCTATCATCTGTCACTTTTTTATGCTTCTGGTTGAGCAAATCACGTTTCACGCAAATTCAGACAGCTTCAAAAGATATACTAACGCAATTCTTTCTGCAGTGGCATATGTGGGTATGGTACAGCTAGCCTAAAAACCAACGCATATTTATTGCTCACGCCAAGACCATTGGACTTCTGGAACAACTAGGACAACTGCCGGCAATGTAGTGTAAAGCGGCTCCGACCATTGAGGAGGTAGATGCATACGTCACGTAGCTTATTTGATTTTTTGAAATGACTTGATGCTTCTGCTGGGTATTGTCGGTTCGATTCGTTTTCCCATTGATGTAATGGGTTTTTCCGTGGTACTTCCGCAATAACAACCTCGGTCATTCTTGGTAAAAAAAATCGCTCAGGTAATTGACTACCTTGTTCAACCGACTGAATTCCTTCACCTTCAAAGACAGTGATATTTTTTCTATTTCTTTTCTCTCTCCTTGATCTGGTTTCCCCCAATTATTAAAATACCACCTCCGGTTTGCGGGATTCGACCTTATCACGGTTTATCTTGATCTGTCATTGCGCCACCACCTTGGAGATACTTGTGGAGGGTACGCCACTTTTTTCTTAACTAACACAGCAAATCAGCGTGTCGTCTGGGGATCAGACTCTCCAGGGAAAGTCGCTCAATGCTTTCACCAAAAAGTTTTTTCGATTTGGAAAACAGACGGAACGATTTGTGTCACTTGGTTTATATACAGGATGCAATTTGATAACCACACCGTCTCTACGATGCAACGTGTCACGGCGCGGAGGGAATGTTGACCCTCGTGGAAACCTTCGCCCTTAGCGTCACCGGCAACATGTCTAGTGTCTGCCGGGTGTGGCTCTCCGTTATAGGAGTAGCATCGTGCGATTTTTGGTCATTACATACTCGCAGATCACCAGGCTTCTTAAGGTTATTCACTTCTTGGCTGATCCAACAATGTAACAGTGCGACAATTTTGGTTGTAATGCCGAGGCCAACCAGACACTAAAACTACGTTGAAATCTGACGCATATTACTATGGACGCCTTCGTAGCCACCTAAAAGTGGACTGTAACTGGATCGTTTGGCGATAAACATACGTTATCGGCAAATTTTTCCGTTTCTTCATCATACTGTCAGAACGATGGCGATAATGTTTGTGGCTCGCTGGTACAGACACATATTACCATATCCTCCTATGCAGTCGATTCCCGTTCTGTGTATACCATCTTGACTTACTGAGAATTCCGGCTGTTGAACAGTAAGTATTTTAAAAAGTATATTTTCTTTGGTACCTAGAAACCTTAACCACAGACGGATAGAATGTACATATATGTACTACATTCTGGTGCATCCAGTACCCCTTCGATGATTGGGGTTTGTGCAGGGATGCAAATGGGAATGTTTTTGTGAAAATCTTCTATTGGGGCTTTCACTCTCATGTTCCGGTTCACAGACATCCTCACTTTTCGTTACTGTACATATCGGGAGGGGGGAGGGACCTGAAACGGCTAGTTCATGAAACGTGAATAAACAATTGCAGTGGTCATACAAATCACACAATGCACTGTTTGAGACCAATCTTCGCATAAAGGACTGAAGTACGAAGGGACAAATATCCTGTACTTGAAGCAATTTGACTGGGGTGATGAGAAAAGACATGAAGCTAGGGTTAACATGCCGTTGTGATTCCTTATGCGTCTTCAGAACTTCAAGTGCACTAGCTGAGTACTGTGAAGGTGCCTAAACGTTCAAAACTCTCGCTCTCTGATTAACGTGATCGAACAAAATGTGCCGTGTGGGCTCGGTCGCTTTCCTTTCGGCCTTAACTTGCATGTGGAGTTTTACGGATTTCGTGGCAAAGGAGAAAGTAATGTCGACATGGATGAGGTGAAGCGTTTCGGTTGGCTTCTCCTTTCAAAACGTACTTGAAAGTACGAATTGTCAGATTGGCATCATTGAGTGGAATTTCGAATCCGTATGCATTATATGATAAGTAAAAGATAAACGATAAAATTTTTCTTCATCTACAGGTGGACTTTCAAGTTTATCATGCAGGAGTATTACAAGAGGTGTGCTGGGATGGGGTGAAGCTGGCGATTCGCAATTAAATATTTTAATTTTTCATAAATCGATAGCGTTGTACAGAAACTTTGCTACTTCCTCGTAAATACAGTCTCAGTCTTGTTTGGACCGGATGCTATTAACACATCTGTAAATACGACTAAATGTAGAGTCATCATCACCGCGGCGCTTGAAAAGTTCGCTGCTTCCGATTCAATATACTAACCCAGGTCAATGAGGCGGTTGATGTGTGGTACGTGCGCTGCATTGCCCTTGCAGTTGGTCTGTGCGCGTGTCTTCATGTTTATATACTTGCATTTCAGGTGTTGATTGTTCATTGATATTCCCGGTGTACCTGTGCTTAATGTGAATGTTGGCAAGGTGCCTACCCACCACTTCGCATGTACTGCCTACAGGATGCAGTTGGTCGTTGCTGGGGGGTTGGTTGGAGTGCACGGTGCTCGTGGCCGTGCAAGGCTCAAAAAGTGGTTCCATGCATCCATTGTGAAATGGGCTACGGCCAAGTCACTGCGTTATGTACGTCGGGTACGCATGATTTCCCAATTAGGCATGAATGCTTCTGCTCTGCTTGTTGAAGGATAGTGGGCCAGTTCCGTTGATGAAACGTGGCTCCCATCCACCTGCTTCCCGGTCTTATTCCTTCAGGTTTACCCTAGATAAAGGGTGTGTGAATGTAGCTGTGGGTGGTGCAGCAGAAGCCACCCACGTTTTCTATGTAGGCACAGGCGTCCTGTGGCTGTCCTGTAAAGGCCGCATTGACAAGCGAATCCGAAACCAATTGCCGCCAATCAGATATTTAAAAATCAAGTGTTTTCACAATGTTCTGAATGGGGTGAAAAGCCTTCGAGTTCGCTATGGATTCGTCTAGGCTCTCGCTTGCCTAAACTTGTAATGACAGTTTGCTCCACAAGTGAGCATATCCTATCAGGAAGTAGTTTGACCGTATTTTACTTCCGCTTTCTGCGAGCGTACCGAGTTATCTCTGTTACGTGTATTATGGTAGGGGGAGTTTACAATATCGCACATAACCAGGCATATAAATCCCTTAAAAAGAGTACCATATATGTACACATATATATACCATTTGCACTTTACATTGGACGTTTTGTAAACTAGTTTGGACGTTTTGCAAACAACTGGAAGTTTTGTAGACCAATTTGGACACACTAGATTTTGAGCAGAAAATCAGCAATTTGCTTGTAAGAAATGAGGAGTAACGTGACTAGACGATGTTCAGACTACATTGTAGTCACGCCAATGCAACTGAATTGTTTAACTAACGGGTGTCACTGCAAACTCTTCTCTTGATCGTGAACCTCAATCGCCTCGATCAAAGATGATGACTGAATGTTCTTTATCTCCCCATCTTTTTGCTTCTAGTTTATGTGCTTCCAACTTTACACATGCACCTGTGCAGCTATGTGACTATTGGAAAGTCATACTCCCCAAGCATGTAGTCTATCATGACTTAAACAAATGTTACCTAGCATTGGAGGGTCGTTGTGAAACACTCGTTTTGAGAAGTGATTATGATGCACCATCTCAATGTGGACCGCGATTCCCATTGAATTAAACTTGGGTACATTCGACCACCTGAACCATCACTGCTGAAGCAGATTGGCGACGATCCAGTTGTCCCCTGTCACTCTATGGGCCTTCGCGTATCTTGTGTGGGCCAACGTATTCAACCGCTCGATTATTTGATCAATGCAGGCTATCAAGATTCTAGCAAACACAGCATGGATTTGTTGGTCTACTGCTGCGATCGGTTATCAAAGAAAGAGGATAAAAACGACTGGACGATGTTCAGACCACATTGTGCTCTCGCGAATGCAACGGGATTGTGCAAACCCTCCTCTTGATTATTGGTGTTGTTTACCTCGTGCAAACCTGGCGACCCAGTTCTCCCGTGTCGCTTAATTGGATTTCCCGTATTTCCTGTGGGCGAACCTATGCGGTACAATCACTGGAACACTGTTGGCTATCATGAATCCACGTAAACCAGTCTAGCTTCATTGGTTTACAGCTGTAGCTTGTTATCATAGTCAGGTTAATAAGGGTACTGTAAGATATTCCGGTTACATTGCGCTTACGCGAATGACACGTAACTGCATAAACAGTGGGTGATTGTGCAATCCTTTCGCTTGATCATGGGCGTCAGTAGTGTAGCTCAGAACCGGTGGCCCAGTTGTCCCGTGTCGCTCTATGGGATTTCGCGTTTGTTATGTGGGTGTGTGGGCGAATCTATTCAGCTGTTCGATTATTGT